AGGTATAAATGTTTACATAGGAATCATTAGGTATAATCTATACCCAATGCTCCCTGTAGCGATCACCACCCGATCTCAGTGTCGTTTATCTATACTACTCGCTTGATAGTAAGAGCCAAAGGAGTAAGAAGTAATTTAAATTTCTTTTGAGTTTATAAATTTTTTGTAAAAGCCATTTCAATTTCGTATCAAATTTAAGTTTAAACATCACTATTTTAACTCTTTCTAAATTTTCTCCAAGTAGTACTCTCATGTTGTTAAAATAAGCAACTAAAACCACATAAGCAAACTTTACAATTAGCGGTTACACAGTAAAATTATCTTTACTTCTGTACAAAATAAGCAGTGGTGAAGAAATAAGGAAAACTCGAATTAAAATTTGCCAAAATTAGCGAATCAAGCCACAGTGAGATAAATATCTATTTAGTTTGGACAGTCACTGATGGAAGCAAGTTAGAGCTCGCAGTACTTCATATGAATGGTCCTCGAGCCCTTTCTGTCAAATGTGATAATTTATGCCAACATTATAACCTCTGAGTTATATTAAGTTATGACCTATGACCATGCTAATTTATAAAATACCTGTCAAAAGCGCAACGGCTTTTGGTAGATCTAGAGATTGTTCATTGTTAATTTTTGACACGCAACTAATTCTGTGAAACTAACTCTTAATTCAACTTTTTTATTATCTCTTAATTTAGCTTAGTTAACTTAGTCTTTTATTTAGTCTTAGATAAAAGCCTACATCTAAATTGTAGGAATCTTAACTCAACTTGTCTTAAAATAGTCTTAGTTTAAGTTTAACCAGTTTCATACTACAGACGGTTAATCACAGTTTTTTAACATGGCGCAGTCAAACGAGTCGAACCTACGAGGACTAGAGTTTTTTTTGGAACAACACGTCGAGCGAAAACCAGCCTGACTGGGAAAGGTGGTCGCAAAAGTTCCAAATAACAATCATCGCAAAAGATTCCGTGGACATTGAAGATGTAATTAACTCACTGGTAAGAACTGAACTAACGTACCCAATGGCAGAATCAGCGGAACGGTCCGATGATCAAGCCCGTCGGGCGAAAAAGAAGAACAACACCGAGGAGCTATCCAAGATTACAACGAAGAAATGAGAAGGAGGAAGGCAGAAGACAATACAAATTTCAACGGACTTCAAATTGGAGATAATGACAAGAATTTAAAATCTCAATAATACCTAGCACTCGGAAGAGCAGGACAGAAATGCTTCTCACATAAAAATCCTGGAAAAAGAATACTGGACATTAACTTTGCTGAAATCTGGGAGTTACTCAAAACTACTTTTACGGTCACTACAAATCTAACATACCAAAAATTTAAATTTTTCAGCCGAAGACAGAAAGAAAACGAGTCTTTAGAAAAGTTTCATGAAATAGCAAAAAAACTGTAAGCTGGTAGAACTCGAGTCAGAATTAGTCAGAGACATCTTCATTACAAACATACGAAACGTTGAGATACAAAAGAAACTATGCATCGAATACGTGACTCCAGAAAACGTACTATCATACGTACTAGTCCACAAAAGAGGTACTAAAATTCATCAACAATACCTAAAATTCCCTACCTATAATGCGGTACAGAGACCACAATACAAAAAGAATGAACCGACTCTAAATATCGTCGAAAACAATAAGTGTCGTAACTGTGGTCAGCAGAGATGCCCAGCTAGAGATAGAAACTTCATGCCCAGCTAAAGATAGAAATTGCAATACGTGCAAGAACGCAAACAAACATTGTCGAACAAAACCAAATATCCTAGGAAAAGGAAAATACCAGGGCTAACCCGCAGGAAAACCCCGAATTCCAAATCATCTTAGATGGTTTTTAGTTCTAGCAGTGGACACTGATATCCAAATAAATGCAGTCGAACATAAGATTGAACGTGGAGTGAGAACCGTATTTAACCAAGAAGGCTTAGAACTAAAAAAGACGTTGATGGTATCTCTGGAAATTTCAACCCTTACTGTACAGAAATCCAGATTGACTCAGCAAGCCTAGTCTCATTCATGAAAAAAGACCTACTGCATGAACTGAAGATACGAGATAGATTTCTAAAGTTAGAACCCGTGGACGAATTAATAAAGAAAGCGTACCAAGGCTTCGGGAGCACAATAAACATTATTGGAAGAGTTCGGGTGAGAATTCGATCGAAGGGCTGGGACGCTAGCGAACAGAAACTAATTATTACCGAAGATGCAGGAAGAAATCTCCTCGGAAACGATATATTACCGAACCTGGGAATAGTAGTACTCCAGAAACAACCTCCACCCAACGGGCCAGAGCTACAGAGAACTCAGAAAGAATCACCCATCGGGATAGACGTCAACCAAATAAGATTTGCATCGGACAGAAAACCTGACCAAATCCAAGATACACTATCACAAAGTGAGTTTAAAGCATACATATCAAGACAATTTTCAGACCTCATAAGAAGATCTGGTAGATCAAAGAATTTTATAATTAACACTTATTTTAATGAACAATTAAAGCCAAAACAGGTGAAGGGAAAACGCATTCCGATTCATCTGTTCCCTAAAGTTAAACTATGTATTGACCAACTACTAAGAGATGGTCACATCGAAAAACTGTCTAGATGCTCTGAAGATTGTTTCATCTCCCGTATCGTAATTATAGCCAAAAGAGACGGATCAATTAAACTAGCATTAAAAACAAAATTATTGAACAAACAGATATTTTGTAATAGATTTCACATGCCGAATCTATTCGAATTAATTGATAAAGGCCACTTTCAAATATTTTGTAATAGATATCAAATGCCGAATTTATTCGAATTAATTGATAAAGGCCGCTTTGAAAAAAGACAAGTAACCAATGTAATTTCAACATCGTGGGGGGAGAAGTAACAGGCTCTTACCGTTTTAAAACCAAATTTTATGGACTTGGCGATATGCCTAACGAATTTCAACGCATAATGGACCGTCTGACGGAAAAAATATCAAATACCCATTGTTACCTCGATGACATCTTAATTGCTACCGTGGATAGCGAGGATGAACACAAAAAAAACTAGTTAATAACGTTTTAAAAACGCTAGACGACGAAGGATTGACCTTAAAATGGGAAAAGCGAACATTTTTGACTCATAACATAGATTGGTTGGGATTTAAAATCAATGCAAAAGGGACGACACCACTAATACATAAATCTGACGCAATTAGAAACCAAGTTGTATTAAAGATGGGATCAATTAACCAAGTCGATGTAAAACTGAATACCAGAGTGAAATGCGACGCATCACATTTAGGACTGGGCGCGTCCATCGAACAAGACCATTGGGGGAATTGGAAAACTGTAGTGTTCGCTAGCAGATTTTTGAATGTTGCTGAATTAAAACACAGCACTAATGACCTCGAATTGTTGGGTGTTGTGTGTGCATTAGATCATTTTAAAAACTATCTATTGGACAAACAATTCTCGATCCTAACAGACCATAAAGCCTTAATAGGAGCACTGAAAGACGGCAAATACACTAAAACGACTCAATCACGTCTCA